CTCTTTTTAGATGAAGCTTTATTAGTTGTGATGGTGAGTGGCTGGCAGAAAGGACAAACTCTGGATTTACCCTAAGTGTGAGAAGAGGCAATTCAAAGGTTTATGGTGCTTTATAATGATGCAGTCTAATCTGTGTTTCTAAAATATCCATCAGGGGAATGGACTGGAGGAAACAGGAGTTGAGAGGGAAGAGAAGCTATGAGGCTACGTCTATAGTACATTTCCTCATTTGGAATAGGAATAGCAAGGAAGGAGAGAAATGGATGGATTTGACTGACGTGTTGTAAGTTGACAGGTTTTGCTGGTAGATTGGATATACAGGAGAAGGGAAAGGAAAATCTCAAGGATGAGTCCTTAGTATTTTCTTTGAGCAGTTCTATGCAGGATGCTGCCATTTACTGCCATTAAGAGGACAAAACTGTAGTAAGAGCAGATTTGGGTGATTTAGGCCAAAAATTCCACTATGGACAGGTTAAGCCTGACAGGCCTATTGGATAGCCAAATAGAGATATCTATTTAACAGACTCAACACAAGTTTGGAACCAAGGGACTGGTCATGAGCAGACATATCAACTTGGAAGTCTGGTCAAGGCAGTGACCTGGAGGGAATCATCTAGAAATTTCTATGTACGTAGAGAAGAGGCCAAGAACCAAACATTTAAATGGTGAATAGAGATGTGACCAAAGAAGACTATGAAGGAATGACCATTGAAATAGAGATAAACCAGGAAAGAGCGCATCATGATGCCAAGAAAGAAAGGGTCAGCAGTGAGGAGTGGTGCTGAGAGGCTGAGTGACACACAGCCAAAGAGGAGCCCAGTGGGTGTGGGAACATGGAGGATGTTGGTGGCTATAAGGAGAAATATATGTGGAGTAAAAGTGTTAGGAGGAACAATCAGAACATACTTTTTTATTCAGGATTTAAACACACACACACACACACACACACACACACACACACACACACGACACTTGTTTTTCAAAACTACTGTTAGAAATATCAGAAAAATTTAACCCAAATCATAATGTCACTTAATCATCTTATTAAAGAAAAATAAATGCTTTTTTTTTTTACTCTAATTAAAATGTCAAATTTAGGAACTGAAACACAAAGATAACGGGCTTTTCTTCCTAGTGCCAAGGACATATGACTCCTCTCCCATGGATTCCTTTATTTGTACAAAAAATCATATTCAGAAGCTCAGTGTTTGTATTTGGGCCAATCTCCCAAGCAGGAGAACAGGCAGAAGTTCAGAGAGCAGCTTACAGTCTCTCTCACATCTGTCAGCCAGAGGGAGAAGTTGATTTGGAGTGCTCTGTATGTCTGTATAGGTTTAATTTATTTTACAGTTGCCATAAATGTTAAAAAACAAGGAAGTTGCTTTTTAAAATATAATGTCATTATGCTTATAAGCAATGTTTTACACAATCAATAAAGCAGCCTCACCTTAACTCAACAGAAGTTTGCTATGAGATGGCATTCTTTTTTTTTTTAATTCTTGCATATTTTTTCAATGACACTGTTTTATTAATACAGCTACTTTTAAATTTATTTTTTCAAGTCCATGAACATGTTTTTAAATTAATTGAACTATTGTTTTAAGTTGCTAAAGAACCAACTGCTGCATTTAATGAATGAACTTCTTAAAAAAACACCCTAGAAAGAACTTTTGCATGATGAGGAAACTATTTGACAGCATGTAATTTTTTAGTCAGTCATTGAAAACCAAGTTCAAGTTGATGGTTTTATAGTATAAAATATTTCTTTTAAAATGGGAATTAATTCCAAAAATCTAAAATAATAAAGCTGCTTCACAGCAGAGCAACATTTAAAATGTCATGTTTTTTATGTTTTTGATGAAAAGTACAAAATTCTAAACAAAAGAAACCTATGATTTTATTTGTTAGGCTTTGAAGGTGCTTTTTAAACAAATCCTTACTGACAGCTAGTGATTCAAAGAGTAAGAATTGACATTTAAGTTGAAAAGCTGGATTTGAAGAAATAAATGAATCACTGTATGAGCTTTAATTTCTGATGGATTATCAATGTAGGCCATTTATTTCCATTCTCTAAGCAGAAATGAAAATCGAAATGCAACAATTCAGGAAAAATAATACGGATATTTTTCCTTTGCCCTTCAATGTGTTTATGTTCCTGCCTGAGTAATGTTCATGTGATTTTTTTTCATTTTTCAACTCTTGGCACACTACCATTACCACAAACCAGGAGTTTTTATGAAATAAATTAAACTGGTAAAACATAAAGCTTTTACTCTTTAATTGTCCTTATTTTTCCAAATTAATTTATTGAATTTCATTTTGTATGTGTCATTCTATTTGTAACAGTAAGGCAGTTGATAAGTATTGGTAATATTAAGGAATTAAATGAAAACCCTTATTATAAGTTAAACCTCAATATAATTATAACTTCAAAGAGCAAGAAGTATCTATTAAACATTCAGCAAAATCCACAGCATGAGTGAGTCTGTACAATGATGAACCATGTCATAATTTGATTTGTATGTATAACCTGCTTGATCTTAGAATATTGGAAGATACATCATGGGCATCAAATCAAAATTAAGAAGCATAAACATAAGTAAAAATATTTTTGTAAGCATGTTCTAGCCTTAGAAGCCTGTAATCTATATATATAAAAGGCTAATATTCAAAGTGTCCCCTCGGGAGTTCGACCAGGAGTTTGATCGCTCGCTGTGACGTGCACTGACCACAAGGGCGTGGCACAGGATGTAAAAAGGCCCTGGCCAACAGCCAGCAGCTGAGGAAGGAAGATCCTGGCAGGCAGCCTGAAGGCCCCGATTGGCCTTGATCACCAGCCAGGCCTAGGGACCCTACCCATGCATGAATTTTGTACACTGGGCCTCTGGTTACATATATAATTATTCATATACATGTATGTACATATGGATGTGTGTGTGTGTGTATATATATATATAATGTATATAATTACATATACATAGATTTGTTTCTTTTAGTCCTTGTTTTATTTAATCTGTTTATTTGATGTTTTTCTAATTGAAATGTCACTCTTAAATCTTTTTCCTTTGTCTTCTGTGATACTCTGGTCGCATTAAAAAGTTTTATTTAGCAGTTTGGGGTTTTGAGGGTGATCTTTTTATTTGTTTGGTTGATTTTTGTCAAAACCATTGGTTCCCTTTCCTGCAGATTGAGCCTTTTTTCGTGAGTGTGGCCCTCTACGACCTCAGAGACAGCAGGAAGATTTCTGCTGATTTCCATGTGGACCTGAACCACACGGCTGTCAGGCAGATGGTCTCAGGGGCCTCCGTGACGCTGGAAAATGGGAATATAGACACGGTCACCCCGCGGCAATTGGAAGAACCTCACGTCAAGGGGTTTCCAGAGGAATGGCTGAAATTTCCAAAGCAGGTTGCACTTTTGCTTACACATGGCGGGGCATAAAATGCTGTCCCACTGTTCTTTCCAATACCCTACACAAGATGAGCAATTACCCAAATAAAAATGTCCTTAGAGCTGTTCTTTCAAAACAAATGAGATTTTATAAATGTCTTCAGGGTGGCCTCCTACATGCTTACTAGTTTATTAATCCTAACTCTTTTTTTTGTACATAGGCTATATTCTCTGTAAGCAATCCACATTCTGACATTGTTTTGGTGGCCAAAGTCGAGAAAGTATTAATGGGAAACATTGCAAATGGTGCAGAACCTTACATTAAGAATCCAGACTCCAACAAGGTAATCCATAATCTTTTCCACATAGCATTTCAATTGATTTCAAGAAATAAAATTGCATTGTCTGATGAATTATCAAGTTTGATAAGTTTAAGTCTCAAAATATTTACTTAGTGCATAAATATTTTCACTAAGGCATCAGGAAAATTTTAAAGTATATATTCCTGGCTTATGCTTTGTGACCCAGCAGTTTCTGACTTTTGATCATCTATTAGTAGAAATAAATTTAAATGTGGATAAAGCTTTAATTCCAAGGATCAAAGTGTTAACAATAATGAAAAGTTAGGATTAATCTGACTAAAAACAAGTTAATACAGCCCACTAAGACATTATTAATGCTGATGGGAAACTATGAAAAGGGGGATAGATAATTACATATCAAGTTATAATAGACCTAAGTAAAGAAAGAAAGAATAAAGGATATACAGAGAGTTCTTTGAATGGTGGGAACAAGGGATTATTTTTTTCTATGACATTTTCTTTAATAATTGAATGTTACTATTTAGTAGAAAATAAAAATAAAAGTATATTTTCCACACAAAAGAAATGCATTGTGAAAATAATGTATAAGGATTGAATTTGAACATATGTGTCCATTTAGGGCAGAATTTAACAGATTTATGAGATTCAGGGTTTGGCAAACTATGGTGTGTGGGCCAAATCCACCCTGCCACCTGTTTTTGTAAATAAAGTTTTATTGAAACACAGTCACACTCATTCATTTATGGATCTTCTGTGACTGCTTTTCTGCTAGAGCAGCAGAGATGAGAAGTTGTGACAGAGACCATATGGCCCAGTATATTTACTGTGTGAACCTTTACAGAACAATTTTGCTGACCTCTGCCATGATAAATAAAAGAAAACATAGGACAGACTGTGAATGTAAATTTGATAACACTTTCCATTCAATATTTTAAGGTTTTTGAAGTCAGAAGAAAGGAAAAACTTTGATATTCCAAGACAAGGGTATTTTCTATATTTGAATTTCCAAACTAAAAAAGAAAGAAAAATATTATATAGTAGTTTAACACAGAGACTTATCATTTTGGCTCTTTAAGAGGTGCATCTGTAGGCCCAGTAAGTCAGAATTCCATTGAGTGTCAATGTAAGATAACATAAAAAATATTTGTTAATATTTTTCATGGGCAGGTTGTAAAGTGATGTTCTAAACCACATATCATTTATTTCTCCCTTAGTGTGCACAAAAGATACTCAAATCCAATAGGCAGTTCTGCAGCAAGTTGGGGAAATACCGCATGCCATTCGCTTGGGCAATGAGGTAGGTTGACAATTGCAACCAACAGAATAGACATGCATTTGTAGTCAGCATTGGAAGCTTCCGTTTTGAACGCTTCTGTGTTACTTGTTATTTTAATATACTAACACCTAGAATAATGCTAATGTGTTCATCTTTATAAATACCTTGAGCTCCCCAGAAATGTGTTTTACAAGACAATCAAGACAACTCATGCTAAACTGAGGCCACGACATAGGGACAGTGTTGGCATGACCGGTATGCTGTGGGTTCTTGGTAGAGTCAAATCAAAGTCATAACTTGTTTAGGATATAAATTTTATCAAACACCTGACATTGTATCACCCCTGAGAGTTTGGTGTGTATAAAATTCAGATGGACACACTCTGATGTCTTAGGCAGCTGCATGTTTTCATCTATGCGTAGAGTGCAGGTCTATGTATAGTTGTCTAGAAGCCTTCAGGTTGATCATTTAAACTGTCTTTGATTTTGGTGCTGATTAGCATAGCTAAATTTATCAATACCAGTTGATGCTGATAGCAATGCTGAGTTATATAGACACTGATGATGGAATCATCCTCCTGGAAATATAACCTCTGCATAAAGAACAAAAATAGTTTGTTGGATCTACTCAAACATCCATTATTATTGTCCTCTTCAATCTCTGTGCATCTTTATTAGTATAATAATTTCTTAAAGGAGGAAGAGCCTGGAACAGACATAAGGAAAAAATGGCCGACAGTGCACAAATGAAATGAACTACAAAATGAGACTGCCTATTAAGTAATCATTTGAATGTTGATAATGCTGTCCCATGGCAGCAATTGTACAATGCAGAATGAAGTGAGAACCAGTTACTTATGCCATGCTTAGGTCTCCCAGTTCCCAGCGATGAGCAGAACCAGAGTAAACTCACCAATGTTTGTTATAGTTTTGAGGGTGTCACTTAAAGTTGGTACAAGTAAGTGCAGGAAAGAGAAATGTGGAAGTCTGGGCAACAGTAAGCCTATATAGGCTTACACAGTCTCTGGGAATTTGTGTGCTGTAAGGCAGCCTTGCAGTACGGGAGAAGGAGACCAGGCCAAAGAGTCTGACAGAAAGGGTCTAGGTCAGGCCACCACTTACAGTTTGTAATTTTGGGCAAGTTTCCTTCCTGATTCACACGGTCCCCATTTACAGAAGGCAGGTGACAACACTTGCCTCATGGGCAGTAAGCGCAATCTCAGGCGCAGAAGCCCATGGCATAAAGCAGATCATAACTATCACTCGATCTCCCTTTTCCCTCTCTCCTACAGGGACAATTAATACCAGGATAGTCTGCATGAAAAAGCTTCTAGTGAGATATACTGAACCCTCTCTGATAAATATAATGGTTTTTACTTCTCATATGTTTCAAAAGAAAGGATAACTGGCTGTAATTTGCTGTTTTTAAAATATATTTTTATTGATTTCAGAGAGGGAGGGAGAAGGAGAGAGAGATAGAAACATCAATGATGAGAGAGAATCACTGACTGGCTGCCTTCTGCACACCCTACACTGGGAATCGAGCCGCAACCCAGGCATGTGCCCTGACTGGGAATCAAACCGTGACCTGGTTCATAAGTCGATGCTCAACCACTGAGCCATGCTGCCCAGGCTAAAGGAATTTTTTTTATTTTTATTTTTTTAACTGTTTTTTTTTAATTAATTTATTAATTTATTTTTTTATTACAAAGGGTATTACATATGTGTCCATTTTTTCCCCCCGCCCTAGACAGTCCCCTAGCCTCCCCTATTCCCCAGTGTCTTATGTCCATTGGTTATGCTTATATGCATGCATACAAGTCCTTTGGTTGATCTCTTACCCCCCTACCTCTCGCCCCCCAACCCTCCCCGGCCTTCCCGCTGCAGTTTGACACTCTGTTTGAGGCAGCTATGCCTCTGTATCTATTTTTGGTCAAAAGTTTATAATGGTTTCAATTATCCATGAATGAGTGAGATCATGTGGAATTTTTCCTTCATTGACTGGCTTATTTCAATTAGCATAATGCTCTACAGTTCCATCCATGATGTT